AACCTAATCAAAAATATTATTACGATTAATTTTCTAACCAAAAAGTAAGATCGTGCTACTTTTCTCGCTAATATCGCTTTTTTTTTGTCATATTTCTCGCACATTAAACAATTTTCTACAAAGCAAGACGACAAAAAACAAGGGACAGTTATTTATGGCACGCCCTGTATATGTACACACGTGCCGGCGCCTCTGTATATATCCGTACAATAAGTGTATAATAACGATAATAGTAATAGTAAATAATATAATATATAATAGTAATAATGATCGAGGCAAAAGCTCGATCACTTGAGTCCCCAGTTGAGTGGAAAGCTCATTCGAAGGTGCAGACTATCTAACGTATCCCTAATTAATTCACTCGATTAACCGCTAATTGGTGCACCTAATGTTGTTTCGATTCACAATTAAGGAACTATGTTCGTCGGTGATTCTCTGCCTCTCTACTTTAATTGCTAGCTTCTCTTGTCGCGCCTTTTTTTTTTTCTTAATTTTCTTTTTTCTTCATTTTTATTACTTTTTTTTTAATTAAACTGGCATCGCCTAAATAGAATCATCTAAAAAGCGAAATTTTACATGGAAACGTGCGTAATGTTAGCGAACGATCACCCCAGGCTTTTATCTCTCGTTCCTTTCTCTCGTACTTTGGCAATCTTCGAACATCTTTGGACGGTTCCTCGCGGAACCATTTTTTTGGCAACGTTTTTCCCGCTTTTAACTCCCGTTTGGGGAAACATATCTTTGGAGAATGCTTAACGCTGGACGATCTGCTATTCAGAGCTGGAAAGAATGCTGGCGAAACGGCACAGGGGCGAGAGTGGTATAGTCGGTGGAAGCGATACAGCGAGGTCGTAAAATCAGTCAGGCGTCGAGGTATACTACGTGGAATAAATGTAGCACGTTCGTTAAATCGGACAAGAGTGAAAAGAAATCGTGCTTCGAGGGTTCTAACAAAGGAATTGACCGAAGTACGAGAAGATGAGAACTTGAACCTTTAGTCAGGGCCGTATAATGTATTCACCGTGCTTGCGCAGGCTCTGTTAACATGTTGACTGCGACGCCAGATTTACATGGTTTATTCAGGGGGCATATTTTTTTTTAAATTCAAAATAATGTCTATACTCTGTCCAATTTAAGAATAACCTCGCTTCGCGCATGGGACGTGCCTAAGGCAGGGCTAGAACGTCCAAACCCCCACTTAACCGCCTACCTTTTTCTCCGTCTTACCCTCTGCTACGCTCTCCGTCTATACGCAGGATCGGTCTGAGGGCGAGGTTATTCTTAAATTGGACAGAGTGTAGTTAGTTATGATGTTTGAAATTTTTAGTTGACGATATTCATTTTATTTTAATTATTCTAAACATTTAAGGCCCTCCGGTCACAGGTGACCAACGGTGGCAGTCAACGTGTTAACTTTAAACTTTACCAAAATCGCGTGTTATTACCCATATGCCCACAGATTCCGACTGTCCGTCTACGTTACACAGATGGACTATCCGGATAAGCGTTAGTGCTTTAATTCACAACCTCGCTATATCGCTTCCACCAACTATACTCCGCTCGTTTCGCTTGGCTCCGCCGCTCCCGAAGCTGCCATCTTAAGGTTTTTCGTGGCACACGCTGACATAGTAGTAGGATCCCCGTATTCGAGGGCGATACGTTCCAAGACCTACCGCGGATACAGGAAAAAGCTCGTCGATTCACTCGCTATTGCTCTATCCAACTCGGTGTCGATGTGTGCCGTTCGCTTTTTTCGTTACGTTATACGATCCTGCTTACAGATGTGACCGTTTCGGCCAATAATAAAAATACATGTGCCTTGTTTTTATGATTCTGTCAGAGAATTCAGCGCATTTCTTCGGTTAACATTTTATCCAGCTCTGCATAGTAAGTACTTACGTTATACCGACTCGAAAATGAACGGAAATACTTCCCAGCACAAGAGTCTTCGAGGAATTGTAAAAATTTTGCGTTATGTTTGAAAGTTCTTTGAATATTTGTGGAAAATTTTGTAAAAATTGTCGCTTGTTGTAGAAGTGTTAATTAAATTTTTTTTTAAATTTTCTTAATGATTGTAGCACGTATTGTGGATAGTTCGACCCATTGAGTGCAATTTGTCAGTTTTGGAAAAATAGGTAAATTTTTGGTAAATTCGTGTGTTTGTTGTGATACTTCCATTTTCGAGAAAGGAAAGCAGTGTCTTTTGTGTATTACAGAAGTGTAACACACTTTTAGGTGTATTGTTTATGAAGATGGTTGAAATTCGGTATTTAAAACTACACTCTGTCCAATTTAAGAATAACCTCGCTCTCGGACCGATTTTCGTCCGTTCTGCGCATAGACGGAGAGCGTAGCAGAGGGTAAGACGGAGAAAAACGTAGGCGATTAAGTGGGGGTTTGGACGTTCTAGCCCTGCCTTAGGCACGCCCCATGCGCGAAGCGAGGTTATTCTTAAATTGGACAGAGTATAGGTATATTACAATATTAGTGAACGAGAAACAATTACACTTGGGACATCCGTTATATGAAAGTGTAGAAAGTAGTTGTATGTACTACAATACTGATATATGATACTATGTATAATATTATAATACTGATTTAAATTGTAAACACTATAATACTGATATATAATACTATAATACTGATTTAAATTACATCTCTTTGCCAAAATTAGTATCATGTATCAGTAAAAATATATGTATTCGTTATAAGACGAGATTTCAGACCGAGTAATTGTGTTTTCGGGATTTGAATAATTTTGTAACGACTGTTCAGGTTTTCCTCACATTCAGTAAGTGTCCTTAATACTTATGAACGGAAGCGTATGTGTATATACACTGTCGGTCAAAAGTTTGAGGCCACTGTGCATCGCAAAGTGTGCAAGAATTTTTAGAAGAAACGTTTAATGAATTTTTTAGTACCTAAATCTACGAAATTGAAGTAAATTGGTAATTGATCCCTGCAACATTGATTGGTGTGAATTTGATATTGTTGAAAGAAATC